TTAATTAGACTTGCGAGACACGCCTGACTGCGTTCTGAGAGGCGCGGCGTAAGATCGTACTCGTGCAATATTGCACTCGATGCATCGAAAGTTGCAGAGCGAAAGTTCAGACCTTTTTAAGGTGCAAATCGCATGTGTTCTAGTAAACTCGAGAGACTAAGCCTTCGATCTTTTCTCCCCTCCTTCTCAGATTGTGGTTGCAAAAATTTTACATGATCCCTCATGGCCAAGCGTATACGCGTCAAACTTGGAATCGCTCTCAACTTTCATACCTAGGAATGTGTGCTGAAAGATCGATTTCAGCTCTCGATCGAGTTGGCAGGGTTGATGATACTGCGACGTGCTCTGGAGAGTTGTTTGATCTTTGTTTTATGCCCGTATGTGCTCTCTCTTTGCAGACAACCATTATCTCCAGCAACCGGTTCGATCTTTTCCAGGAGTCGTGGAAAAAAGCGTTGCCCTATTATTCTACCCGTTCCGTTTGTGAGCTAGGCATCGAGCAAGTGGAAAAAGCACAGCTACTTAAAGTTGCACTTTGAGTAGAAATGCTAAAGCTTCTTTTCAAAGCAAGCGTCCAAAGAACTTCGACTGCAAGATAGGGCGAGAGAACTTTTGCAAGTCAATAGCTACTTAAATAATCGATTCACGACCGAAAAATTCTGAAAATTCACCGGAAGGTTTTCAATGTGCGCATTCGGGTCAACCTTTATATGACACATAGAAGTTTTGAATGAAGACTTATGCATTAATACTGGGGAAAAGGGGAGGGAGTAAGTATGTTTTGAAAATTCAAGTATAATGCAGCGGTGCGCTGCTATTGTGTGCTTAGTAAAAGAAGAGGGATTTGTAGACATTTATCTACTGAAGCAATCATGTTTCGAATTTCTGTTCATACTAAGCTTTTTTGTATGTTCTCCTGCCGATTTTTTCATCTTACAGATTCTAATTAACAAATACAAATGTTAAATGTCTAAATGATTAGATGCGTCTGCTAGTTTTTAGCAGTGGCGTGGCGTGCTTTGCGATATATCGATTGATCGGCCATTTAAACCTATGGAAAAGTATCGATAAACAGGGTGTTCGCAGCGAACACCTTAATTATCGATTATTTACCACAGCTTCAAATGGGGACATATCGATAGATCGCAAAGCACGCCACGCCACTGGTTTTTAGAGCAAGAGCGATCGGTTACTGTGAAACAACATGTAAACTTGACCGTATTCTGTCTTATAAAACCAAGAATGTTCGAGTTCATAAAATAGTTTAATGCAGATTATTTTTGAACATTTTTACCTCGTTATACCGAACAAAATTTGTCATTATCATTCGCAAAAATTGTTAAGGATTACAAATAGCCCAATTTTTTTGCAGCGACTAATGAAAATTACAAACTGTGTGTAAGTCATTGACATAATTATTCAAAAATAGTAGCGCAGTTGTCGCGGATCACAGTTGTAAAACTTCGCAAAAAATGAGCACATTCTTTCCGAATAGCCGGGAATGGGGGCAATTTTTCAGCTCCGGCTCTCGCGCAAGTCGTAAAACACTCAGCAACTCGTGAATCGTCCCGTCAACATTCTATTTTGGTGCAATAACATTTCTCGGTGAAACTATTCGCGAAAGAAAAACGGAGTGAAATTGTCGGAGGAAAGAGCGCTCGGGACCTGGGATAGAGACAAAAGGTAAGCTGAGAAGGGGGAAAAAATAGGAACGAGGCAGGATGAAGAGAACGGTGGGAACGGAAAGGAAATCAGATTTGTGACAGAATTGCAAAAGCACATCAACGAGGCGGCGTTGGTAGTTGTGCAGAAATTCCGCTCTGAGTCCGTGAAAAATATCCCGGAATTCGATGCAGGTTTCAACCATGGCGGAAAGATACACTGCCGAGAATTCGGGCTGTGGAAGTGTGGGTGCGTATGTGAGAGGGAAGCCCAAGGGTTTTGCGGGGCAAGCGGCGTGCCTTGCCGGTAGCTGTGGTGGAGTGCAGACTAAAATAAATGGAATTTTGGATTCCCTTAAAGGATGAGATGCGAAAAAACTTTTTCCCCCCTTTTTTTGCTACGAATGTCATTCGACACCCCTCTCTGTGCGCTACATCGGCCGCAAATCGCTTCGCGTTCAATTTCCCGTCAGCACAGCACTTACATTTCGTTCGTTTGACTACGTAAAACAGGTCGTTAGGACGTACGCTGTGGTTTTGTTTGCAACATTTTTTTTGTGATGTTGGAGATGTTGCGGTTCAGATTATTAAGTAACGTTTCAAAGTAAAAAAGTATTAAAGGTTTCTGAAGCTTTCAACTACAAAAACTAAAATTTGATCTGAACTGAATACAATAAAAATAAGCTTCACTTCACTGGAATAAACAGTCACCAAAGCAGAATAAACTAAAGTCTGAACTCAAAAATAGAAGGCTCCAATCGGACTAGAACTACATAAAACCCACAATCTCCGAAAAGTCTTACTAAAAGTGTCCAGAAGTTAATACTGAGGGGGGTTAATTTTGTATTTGGACCGGGCTGAACAAGAACCCACCAGCCCTCAACCGGGAAAATGAGGTTTCAAGTTCTATCTTATCACAGGATTCCCAAGATCTCTTTAGGATAAAGTTTAACAGCTTTTTCCACATTCAAAATATTTTTTACAACTTAAATTGTTAACCGGAGATTTATGAAAATTTGAATAGAAAAATTTAAATGCGACTTGGTGGATTTTTGTTAAGCTCAGTCCATTTAAAAGATTCACTCTCCATTGAATTTTCAACAAAAGATAGGGGCATGCAGAATGGTAATAGTAATGATGAAAAGAACAGGTTATCTCGAAGAGAATGTTAAAATAATTAAACTTTAAAATCTTGAGATGATACGTGCAAACATTAAATTTGCTTTTGAATGAAGCGCAAAGAAAAGATTGTCACACCTAAAATTGCCTTACATGTTTTTCGCCAGACTTTAAAATTTTAAGGTGATTCGATGGACGCCATATTTTGTGTCAGAACGGCATGCTGGAGAATTTGCACGCAATTTTTTTATTGCTTCATCTGAAAGTGCCTAATGAGCTGAGTTTGCAATATTTTTCATAATTTTTTTCTGACATGGGAAATTGGAGAAAAATTGATTTAAAAGTGAGAAAATGTGCCGCCTTGTGACGTCATCTGGCGGCATTTCCCATTTAAACACATGTATTTTAGCAGAATCGGTTATTTTGTCATATCTCCTCTAATAATTGCTCAATTTATGAATCAAGGGTATCTTCGTGTTCAGTTCACTCAGAAGATTCCACTTAAACAGGAAATTCATCAAATTTCAGACCCTTGCAAATTCTCCATTGGTTCCATTTTTCAGCTACTCGTCATTTTTCTCAACTTTTGAGATCGCAATTCTGTTGTCAGGAGACTGAAGCACCCCCTTACCAATTCTAACAAAGAAATTCAACGTAATAAAGGCGTGGTTTTTTTAGAGAGAAAATATCGCATTCGAGTGCAGTTTCAATATCAGTATCGAATGCGATGTTTTCCCTCCTAAAAAAACCACGCCTTTGTTACGTTGAATTTGTTTGTAAAAAATGGTAAGTGAGTGCTTTCGTCTCCTGACAACAGAATTGGGATCTCAAAATTCGAGAAAAATGATTAGTAAGTAGCTGAAAAAATAGAGCCAATCTCGCACGTCGCTCTGACACACAATATGGCGTTCATCGAATCACCTTAAGTCCTAACCATATCATCATTCATATACCAGGTAAAGTTAATTTTGAATTCAGCCGCGAAGAAATTTCTAAAGGGTTAGACTCTATTCAGCCCTGTTGAGCGCAATGAACATAGCCTGCTCCAATCCGGCGTGGCGACACCGTAGGGGTTAATCTGTGTCAACATGAATTATGCGGATTATTTACTTTAAAACCACTTCAAACGTGCGCCGGCCGACCTTTCATGGCCACGATCGCCTCTCAATAAATAAATTACGGGGTGTCGCCCACGTCCCTTCCCTCCTCCGCAAATGTAACACGCGCGACACCAACGCCTGAAGACTCGCGAGTAAGCAACCAGCCGCACTTGCGTGCGGAGCGGTAGGTGCACAAGCGCCTGCAGACTAGCAACTAGGCAACCCGCTACAGTCGCGTGTGAAACAATACACGCACGGTGGTCCCTGTTGGTATTTCGGGAATTCCGTTCGGCAGGTGATTAATCTTTTGAGATTGTTTGGAATATTTCAATGAGTGGAGAGAAAGGCATGCTAATTAGCTTTTCATGCAAGCTGCGGAACTATAACACGCGGACCTGTCAAGACGCCGGAAAATAAGACGCACGAATAATTGAGTTAGAAACTGTATGTCTTATCATTCCTCCTTTAGGATTTCTCGTAGCGTGGCGGTGTGCCTCAACAAAACTTGTCTCTCCGATGCGTTGCCTCGTTACTGTATGACGAAAGCGGCTCACCAAAAAAGTCTTCAGGCTTTCCCGTGGTTGAAATGAAGAGGGCACATTACGTAAATGAATTGAAAAGAGACTTACGGGGAATATTTTACAACAGCAGTGGACAGCAAATGAGAGCTCAATTTTAATTTCAGTGAAATCATTCAGAAAATGTAAGAGAACGCGATAACAGAGGAAGGTTATTTTTCACGTAAAAAATGAGATTAGAGCTGGGCCCTAGAATTTCTTCACCTCATACCTGACAGGGGCAGGCCCTGCGCGGGTAGGGCCCAGCCCTATCTGGACAAGGTCCAGCCCTTACCAAGAAGGGCTAAACTCTGAAGCAGGTAGGTTTGGGCTCTACCCGCGCCGGGCCTGCCCCTACGGGATATGAGGTAAAGCAATTTTACCTACCCGGTTAGGGCTGGGACCTTCCGCGCAGGTACCAGCCCTAAACTCGTTTTTACCGTGCTTTTTATGTTAAAGTAGTAATTGCGCCTTAAAAGTAAATACATGATAAAAAATCACGGTGTTTCACTTGAGTGTAGTTGATGGAGGTGATTGGTGGAGGTATGTTAAATTATAAAGCGTTATTTAGCGTATACCAACCAAATTCATAACATTTCATTACATTTATTGTATGTTCAGAATACATCGGGATAATAATCGTTCTCAGTTGAATTTTGCAGGAGAAGAAGACTATAATACTTATTTTCTATCACATATCATACATCAAATTTATTCAATGCATCTACTTTCAAGTCATTTATGTAGTGAAATTCAAAATTTTGATCAATCATGAACTGAACGATCTTGGTTACGTATCGAGTTGCCTCTTCACCTCCAGTTTGAAGACTCATTTGGATGAGAGCGTCCAAATCCTTCCCATTCCAGTCTTCGTCTTCTAACTTTTTACCTGTTAGCATCAGTGGTAGGAAAAAGCTAGCATGAGCGTAACCATAGAAACCACGTCTTCGAAGGTCAAGCTGGAAATCTTCGAAAGTTGGAGTTTCCCCCGGATCCAGTTCTGGGTTGGACGTCAAAGACGTATAATATGCTTGCAGAATTTCCATCCAGTGATCAGACCTGACCTCTGGTGAGGAGTTCATGAACAAGTAGAATGAGAAATCGATCGCGGGTGACGAGTATCTGAGGGTAGCCATGTCGAAAAAAATCACCGCACATGGCTTACCATCTGCGTCGTACTTGTAGAAAATATTGTTCCTGCAAAAATCGCCATGGCAAATCAGCGACAAGGGCTCATAGGGGGCGACTATTTTCGCCATGGAGAGATTGGCTCTCTCAACCAGTGCCGACAAATCTCTCAGCCTGTCTTTGTAGTTTGGATTATTTTGGAGGGGAAGAATCCCCCGTTTGCAATTCTCTCTAAAAAACGCATCGTCCTTAGCCAACTTTTTCTCTGTCCAGTGACTCTCCAATATTTTCGAGACGACTTCTTTTAATTGTCTAGAGAATTTCTTTTTACAAACCAAAGACGTTGCATGAAACTTACCTAACCACTCAAGAGAAAGTTTTATATGAGCGTAGTCGTTGAAAGCCTTCCATGGTGACAGTTTGTAACCTCGCTTTTGGACATTTTCAAAAATTAAGAGATCTTGCATTGGGTTGCCATCGACGATGTGTCCGTAGAAAAACCTCGGGAAGATACCTGATATTGTGCCGCTAGGATCACATTGACACAGGAGAGGTAAGATTTCTGTATAAAACAAGTTCTCGTTGTGAAGCTGGATGTTGCGCGAGAACAAGTCATTTGTATCCGCAAACTTGCCTCCTGATGCTTGAGCTTTTACCACAACACTCTGTGTCATGCGGTCCCCAGTCTCTGTTTCTGAAATGATGTCACCAAAATATATACTCGACGCAAATTGGTCGGCGGCGGCATAATTTGTATCAATCTTGAATTCTAAAAATTTGACGACGTTATGACCAAATTGTTTTTCCCTCACGGCTTTCGGCAATATCTCCGACCTTAACCTTTCTAGCACGGACATTTCGTAATCCGTGCTTACATTCAATGTGAGTATTTAGAGAGTGATTCTGATAGTTCTCAGGTGAACTGTCCGCAAAAAAGCACTGATAGCTTACACAAAAATAATGATGACGCACTAAATTATGTAAAGAACAAGTTTATAAATTCTTTAGTTTTGAAATGCGGTTTTCTGAATCTTCTAGTTAGCCGGTATATTTCATTAAAGTTGACTAATTCGAGAGATGAATTCCACCCCAGATAAAAAAGTACAGACTAAATATTTAAATACAATAATATTTAATATCACTTCATTTGATTGTTTACTCTCCGATGTTCTGTGGCGAGGAACTTAATTTGCCTGCTAGTAAATCAAAAGTTCTAGCTAGGAAGGCCCAAAAATCAAATATGACGTTTTGAAATTAAAATGATCATTTTCAAAAGAACTTATATATCGTTTCGTTTTGTAGCACCGCACTTATAAAAACTTCCTTTATTTCTTTTTTAAACGAGCACTGCTTGGGTTTACCGTTCAATCTACATTTCTCTCAGATTTTCCAAACTGCCTGTTTTGGGCACCGTTTTACGAAACAATACTTTCGCTCAGCACTGTGCAAGATACTGCTTATCTCTATAGGCATGACAAAAGCTCTCAGCATTTCCCCTTCCCGCCATCAAACAATCGTTTTATCAGACTACTTGAATTCACGGTGCTATTTCAATCACTGAAGCGAATTTGTAGCACTTGTCGAATTGAAGCGATGATATCAATCAGTGTATTTTCTTATGTCATTATTATTTAGGTACAACATTTAAATTCGTTCTTCACTGACGAAACTTTCAGGACTTTGAGCTGAATTTCACTTAGGAAAAATAGTGATCTAAATTTCTGCAACCTCCTCTTTTTAAGCCTTTCACTGCGTCTATGAAATAAAATACCCCAGTTATTTGAACGGATGTTTGCGGCTACTGGTGAAACACTTGAGTGGTTCCTGGCTAGTCTGTGACATGGTTTAAAGAGACCTAAAATCTACTGGTGCGAAATAAGTTATGGTCCAAAAATCGTTTAAAACTTCGGAAATACCGCAACTGCTTTTAGAAGCTCCCATTCGGAAAGCTGCAGTTACGGAAAGTTTGAATGGAAAACCACCCACCGCAGAGCGCGAAATTTTGATCGCGAGTATATTTCTCGCTCAAAAGGCGCCACTAGAAAGGAGCCTCAAGTGATAGAATCAAGGGCCTCGACACACCACCTACGGTGAGGGGATGTTAAACACGTGCGCCCTTTCACATGAGCCTACATGATTGACGTCTGCTCCGGGCGACATTTTCGGGACGGACCCCCCCTCCCCCCGCGGAGGCCCCGCGTACGCGACAAGAATTAGAAGGGTTTAGGACGAACGCGCGAGAGATAATAACACCCGACGGCTTGTAATTAAAAAGGCGGGCGCGAGAGTGTGGGAAAAGCGGGCGTCTTAGCACGTTCTGAGCGTCTCGCTAAGACGTCCAGGCTTGCCGAGTCTCCATCTTACGTCTTTACGCTCTTTTGAAAATGCACTCTAGTCTAGATACCAGTGAAGTGGCGTGTTTTACGATGTATCGATTGATATGTCATTTAAACCTATGAAAAAAGATCTATTATCTATGCTATAAGCTCCGAAACCTCCTAATTTTGCGGAACTGGTAACGCTTAGTTCCAGCGTTCTACCGGGCCGATTTTCATGATTTTTGCGGCTATCGACGGGCAATTGTCTCTGGGTGAGCCCGCTTTATTCAGATTTTTATAATATCAGCCAGATTTTTTTTTATATTACGTGGTAAAGTTGCGAATTTTCCCATTTAGACAATGTAAATTTATGTTTTTTGTCACAGTTCGTTTGAGCTTTCTACTGGGCAAAAAGGAACAAATAGTCTCGAAACTGGAATAAAATACAGCGCTCAACTTTCAAAATTCGTCGCTCCTCTCACGTAAGGGCGTATTTGGATTTTCTCATGAGCTCCAGAAAGCAAGGTATTGTTTGTAAAATATGGCTCACGTGGAGAGATACGCCTTTACGTTAGAGGAGCGACGAGGTGTTCTCCATTGGTCGTTTTCACTCGTTACTAACCCCCTATACTTTTTTGATCAAACCAGAACGTGAGGGAAAATATGGCTTTTAAATCTTAGCTGGTGTTCGACAAAGGAAGAAGAAACTAATGAATAAATGAATTAAACATCTGAGCTGGCAAAATATTTCGATTCAACTTTGCCGAGCTCGTTGATTTGCGACGGATTTTATACGTTTAAAAGATCAAACTTGATAAGCGCCCAGAAATAAAGTCGTCGAGAGAGGGAAATGCCCACACGGTGCGGTCGGCAAGCTGTCGTCGTCGGAAAAATAAGCTCTCCTGAAGTTGTTGCGACCAGCTTTTTTCTTCTTTCATTTTTGCTTTTTTTCCCGTCCTCTCGCTACACTCCAGGTTTCGTCGTCTTCATTATTGATGATCCGCTAGAACTAAGTGACATCTAAGAAAAATAGGGTGGGGGCACCGTTTCCGCCCTCTCCGAGGGGCGCGGAGGGAGGGGAGACAATTAATGATTCTCGCTGGAAGCTTAACACAGTATAAAACCGTGAGTCGTGTGATGGGACGGGGATGGGGGTTGGTGAGTAGGGAGCTTTACAATTTAATATGAGGAGACTGATGGATAAATTATAGACTCGAAGCAAAATCCGCTTTGACATCTTCCGCAGGTGAAAAATGGCATTCACCGCAGTTTCACCTTATTTCTCCGATTTGTTCCCTTTTTTAATCCCCTCCACCTCCTCGCGCGTTTTTCACAAGTTCCTCGGAAAGGACTCGTAGGTTTGGTTCGAATATTATTCTCCTCTAGTCATGTCATCCGAAGCTAGCTCACAGCTTTTTACCAGCTTCAAAAAGGAAGAAATATGTTCGGTCTGGATCATAAAAAGCCCATACCACTAATGCGTTGGATTCCACGCTCGCGGTATCAAACTGATCTTCCTGGAAAGTAGTAATGAGTGAGCTTTCAGCTATAATTCATGCGAACAGGGCCCATTTCCGGTCTGGTGCACATATGCATTTCCTCCAATTATTTCTAAATCAAATTTTAAAAGGTGACCTCATTCCTTTTTTTACCTTTCCCGTGGTATTCCTATTAGTATTTGTCGAGTATATAGGGTGTTTCAGGCTATCGTCAGACCTCAAGAGTGTGCCCAACAGGTCAAAAATTCAAAATAAAAATTGTCTCCTCTGGTACTGCTTTGAAATGTGTCATCAGTCGGAGCCACTCCCTCCTGGAGTCGCTTTATACTGAGAGTCAAGCCCCCCCCCCCCCCCCCCCCTCATGGAGTCACAAACGGGAATAAAGATCACACAAATCGACATTTCCTCTGTAATCTTAGATCGGCTCATTCTCAAATTCCTTTCTCCGTTCCTTTTCTCATTCCGTTTGTTCCTTGTCAAACCCGTTATGCCTCGGTCCATTCTAGATTATAATCTTTGCAATCGGTGGAAATGTTATCATAATTCCCGTTTGTGACACTGTGGAGGCCTGAAATACGGGAATCGATCAGAAATGGATTCACATTGTCTTGACTCTCAGTACCTTGGTAAAAATTGGCGATACGAGCTGCGTTTCAAAATACCATAGGAGTTCTTATAGCCGACTAAAGAAGGCTATTGAAAATCATATAGCTGGCTGTAGAAAGCGGAGCAAATCATATAGCCGGGCTATGTATGTATAAAGTCGCTTTTATAGCGCTCTTTGGCGCTCTGCGACCCCTAGCCGCCAAAGTCCCCTATCCTCCCAAAGCCCTTCAGGGAGTTGACAAACCCTCATTTCTTCTAAAATCCCCTGTCGCCACCCTTTCACTGGGCGTCCCCTTCGTCTCCTTCCAGGAGGAACCCAATCAAGCAACTTCTTTGGCAGCCTTTCGTCCGTCATTCTATTGACATGACCATACCAGACAAGCTGTCTGGTCATGACGTCGAATATGATGTCATTTTCGACTCCCATGATCTGACGCACTCTTTCATTGCGGACCCGATCTCTCCTAGAAATTCCAGCAGACCTCCTCCAGAAATCCATCTCCGTTGCTCTTAGCATCCCCTTTGTCCGCTCCTTCAGCTGCCAAACTTCACATCCATATGTAAGAATACTCTTGACTACAACGTCGTAAATTCTCCTCTTGTTCTCCTTGGAAATCCGAGGGTCCCAGAGGATTCCATTTAACATCGCTGTAGCCTTCCTTGCCAGGGTGTTTCTTTCCTTAATCGCTTGATCAGTTCTTCCATCCTGGGTCAACCGCACTCCCAAGTACTTATAGTGCTCGCAGCCTTCGATCTGCTGCCCATCCTCCAACTCAATGCTTTGCTGATCACCGCCAAAAGTCATCTTCTCAGATATAGCCGGGCTATACGAAGCTATAAAAAAGTATACAGTCGGGCTATAGTTCCTATCGCCGGGCTTTATACTTTATCGCCATTGGCTATAAAAGGCTATAAGAAATTTTGAAGAAATTCATGTGCTTTGGAAATCATTAAGTTTGATACGGAACTACCTTAATATTTACAAAACACACATTATATTTTCCTTTAGAACATATTTTTTTTTTCATCAATTAAAATGAGATGGTCCATACGGAGTGTGCAAACATTTCAAAATCATGAGTTGAAAAACGCTGACTCCGCGAGATTAAATATTAGAGCCTAACACAAAGCGGAGCGGCGACGCATTGACGCCTACAAACCTAACAGGGATACTTCACGCATTGCGCGGCGACGCACTGGCGCCTACAAACCTAACAGGGATACTTCACGCATTGTGCAATTCGTGAAGTATCCCTGTTCAGGTTTGTAGGCGCCAATGCGCGTTTCGCGCTCTCTGCCCGAGTGCCCGCCCGCCCGCCGCGCCGCAGCGTGCCACGGCGTCTGAAGCAACTATTTCACACCAGAGGTACTGCACAGTATCATAAGAAATTTAAAGCGCTCCAACACATTAAGAATGACAGGCATCCTTCAAAAGTACGGAGCTTTCCTCGCAAAATAAATCAAGATACTCCGGCACAAAACGAGAGCGGTAGTCCAAAAACGAACTAAGTCCTAGTATCCGTATTTAGTAACGTTTAGCATAAACTTTATCGTCTGGCTGTTGCTTATCACCATCGGCTATAAAAGGCTATAAGAAATTGCACAGCCGGCTATAGGTCTATAGTATTTTGGAACACACATTCTACTGCCAATTTTTATCAGGGTATAAAGAGACTCTACTCCCTCCTACCTTTTTTTTTTTTTTTTTTTTTTTTTTTTTTTTAATAAATAAGTTGTTGTTCTATTCAAATTTTGGTGACGGTTGTAAAATGAAACTCCCATACAGTGGTTCCTTGTTAGCTACCGCTTGAGGAGCGCTGCTTCGTCTTACACAATATTTCAACTCAACTACAGTGGGAGGCCCTGAGTTTGAGGAGCATCCCCTGCTGAGAGTGATTTGAAGGGGACGAGGAATCAGAGTCGCATCGCAGGAAGGAAATAAAGGAAAATAAGTTCAAAACGGTCCCACCGCCAGGTTGCCTCAGCGTCCCTCGTTTCGTAAGAACCTAC